GAGGTGACCACATGGCGCGGCAGACCTCTCCTGACCCGCCCGCTGCTCCTCTCAGCAGTGTACTTCGTCGATCTGCCTGTTCTGTTCCCCACTCTGTCTCGGGTGAAGCCTCTCGCTGCCCCTGAGCCTCTGGCCTGTACCCCAGTTCTGTATGCACAAATAAATAAATCTTTATTAACAAAAAAAAAACTCTAAACAAGAGTTAAAGGAATAAGGACATAACCCACAAGGACATGGACAAGAGAGGGGACGACAGCAGAACAAGAGAATTTTGGAAAACAGAAAAAAGTACATGAATCTAAGAAAAAGAATATACTGTAACCATGAAACAACAGGAAGCTCTGAAAAATAAACACAAGGGGCTATTGAAAACCAAAAGATTTAACAGAACAGAAATGCAAAAGAAGAGCTGCAGCTGAAACTGATGACGTCATCTAGAAGACAGACAAATGAAAGAAGTGACACTAGGAAAATGACTACAAGGCCAGCGCGCACACGCACACGCGCGCACACACACGTACACACACACACACACACACACACACACACACACACACACCCCACCCCCTTCACTAAAAGAAAATAGGAAATTCTGCATACTATCAAGCTGTGAGTCTCCACACTGGAGAGTCCACCTGCCCAGCACAGTCAGCTACCAGAGTATCAGACAATAGCACTGCTGACCAACATCCATGCTCCCCTTCTCTCTCAATAGAATCCAAATCTGTTCAGGCAGCAATTTACTCAGTTAAAGTAGCCCCTTTCCCACAATTTAGGGGCTTCTAGGCATTCAGATGACCCTCTTCTGCCCAACAGGTAGGGTCTCTGAGGCAGTTTTCTAAAAGGACAGACTATACTAGCTGTGGTCTCCTCTCCTTTAACACCGAAGAAAACCCTCTTGTGAACAGCAGTCCGAAGAAAGGCCTCCAGCTCAGAGCGGCTGAGTGAGTGCAGGAACGTGATGCGGCCAGAGCCTGCAGCACCCAGGCAACATGCCCCAGGCATTTCTTGCTGACTAAGGCAACTGCACACCAGACGAAAGTCACTGTGAGGATTTCTGTTATGTGGACTTTTGGGAACATGTCAGGATATGAGCATTTGGGGATATCTTAGTGACAGTCCCACGAGGGTAAACAACCCGAAAGGAGCTGAAACTTAGGCCTCTAGGGGATGGCTTCAGGACCGACTGTGATGTGCCTCAAACATGCTGGACAGACAACTCTAATTTCTTCAACCTTCTTACAAAAACGATTACTTCAGGCAGATCAAAAAAAAAGATGTCACTTTTTTTAAAGATACCTACATAGGGCCCTCCCTGGTGGCGCAGCGGGTTAAAGCACAGCACTAAGAAGCTTAAGCCACTTCTGCATGAGTTCAATTCCCACCTGCCCAGGAGGTGACCACATGGCAAGGCAGACCTCTCCTGACCCGCCCGCTGCTCCCCTCAGCAATGTACTTCGTCCATCTGTCTGTTCTGCTCCCCACTCTGTCTCTGGTGAATCCTCTCACCCTCCACATCTCTGGCCTGTACCCCAGTTCTGTATGCATAAATAAATCTATTTTTTAAAAAGAGATACCTACATAAGTGTATGACAACAGATATACAATATAACTATGTGTGTGTGTGTGTGTGTGTGTGTGTACACACACAATATAAACTAAAAGCCAATCCTTTTAGAACATGAAATAACGTACCTTTGTAAGGATGGTTTTACCATAATTTTTCGTGCTGGTCAAACCACTGTTCAAGTAGATATTTTTCTTCCCAACAGGGCTGTAGTAAGCTACAGGAAAAAGCAAACAGACGGCTTGTTCAGTGCCAAGTCATAGCCCACTCGGTGTGCTACTCCAGCATCACACAGAACATGAACTTACCCTTCGGACAAACACCACCGTGACTGTTTGCTCTGGGAGAACCAACGTAAGCTAGCCCAAGAGTTCCCATGTCAAAATCTTGGTATGTGAAAAGATGTGCTAGGCAGACTTTCGATGCTTCTTCAGCTATGTCAAAGCTAAATTGCTTTAAAGAAAAAAAAAAAAGGGTGGGGAAGCCCTTCATTAGTTTCAACAGTATTGCACAGCCCAGAACGGACAGACCCACCACTGCCACAGGTCTGCACCAGCAACTGCCGTGAGCAGCACCCATGGGTGGGCAGCACTGTCAAGAAGAGGGAGGCACTTGGAGCTCTGAGAGTGACTCCCAGCTAAGTCACATTCCTGCCAGGGCGGGGCTGGTGCAGCCTAGAAAGGGCACATTCCAGCACAGTGGCTCAGAGCCGGACAGTTCAAGAACCTCAGGCCAACGGTTTTGCAGGTCTACTGGTTTGCAGAGTGTTTTATTTTAAATTTGCTTTGATTTATAATGCACAGGAGTTGTAAGTAGCAATGTGTAAGACAGCATATACTTAGTTTTACGTTATTTAAGATTAAAGTTCATTTAAGTCAATACTGGTGCTTAGGATTTTTGTGGGTTAAAGACAGTGCTATCAAGCTATCGCCAGCCACTGCGATCCCCAGTCAACCAGGGAGTGACTCAGAAGGCGCAGCAGACCTCTCTGGTCTCCTCACTCCTCTCCTCAGCATTGGATTTCAGCACATCTCCTGTTTTGCTCCCCACTCTGTACCTGATGAATCCTCTCATCTCTTGGGAGCCCTGACCTGTACCCCAGATCTTAGTTCTTTATGCCTAAATAAATCAATCTTTTTTAAAAAAAAAAAAAGCTCTTCAGATTACTTTTAAGTCTCTGCCATAACAGTATTAAGACTTCAACTTACAAAGACCTTGATTTTTTTGAAAGCTTAAAAAGAGCTACCAAGGTATGTGAGGAATGAAGTGAAGTGTTCCCAGGATATCCCTCTGGCCACACTGGGATCTGGAGTTTGTGGTAGCGAGAGAGTAAGGCATCTGGAAACCTCGAAGCCTCTGGGAAGATTAACGGAAAGGAACATCTGTAGTTCCATGTGGTTTTCTCCTCTGTCCATCCCTTGCCACAGGCTGTCTGGAGGCCCACAATGCAGAGCTGAGGTGGGCCAGCTGCCCTGGGAAGCAGCCTTCCAGTCCCTCGGTCCCAGCTCTGTTGTTACACCTATGCATACAACCAGCCACACAGGCCATTCACTCCAGCTGTGAGGGCTCAACTGTGCCATTCAAAAACTCCTATGTTGAAGTCCTACCCTGCCCCAGGATGGGAATATATTTGCAGACAAGACCTTGACAAAGGTAAATTAGTGACAGCAGGTCTTCTAAGAGGAGACTGGGACACCCTGCAAGCTGCGAAAAGACCAACTCCAGAATGAGACCAGCGCTCCGAAATACCAATCTCAGACTGTAAGCCTTGAGACCGTGAGAGGAAAAAGTTGTTTTTAGGCCCTTAGCCTTGATGTGGTACTGGCAGTCCTGGGGTCTCATCTACCTGCTGACCTCTGCAGGAGAGCACTGCAGAAGGTGCTATCACTACCTACTTCTGAGGATGGCTAGTGGGTCAGACATGAAGCTGGTCAGTCCTGGAGGAATGGCACTCCAGGCCTCTCAAGCTGAGCAAAGAGCTGATAATGGTCTTTAAGTTGAGCTTTGAACATCATACTTCAGCTTTGTGAGTCCCAGCCAGAGTCAAGAGGAACATGGACAAAGCTCTGGAAAGGAGGTAAACACATATGCTGCTTTAGGCTGCTAAATCTGTGATGCTTTGAGAGAGCAGCAGTAGGAAACCAGAACTCTTTCACACGAAAGGCTACTCTCTAGTCACTTATTTTACACAGGTAACTTTATAACAGAGCACACACAATCTTGGGCACTAATGGCTTGTGGCCACACGGAAGAAATCACAGCCTGTCAAAAAGAAGCCATATGGTATATAGAATGTTTAGGTTACCGATCTTACGTTTTCTTACCAGAATTTAAAAATGTTAAACTTCTATAGAGAAACTTAGATTTCCAAGTCATATTTTTACGATTTAATGCATTTTTACAAGCTGCTTAATAATTCAGACCTAAGATACCCACTGGCAAATTTCAAAGAGACCTGAGCAAAATGCTATGAAGTCACTGGCACACTGAGCGCGGTCTCCTCACGCCCCATTACGCGATTAGGGTCTCAGACAGGAAGGTCAGACAGCAGTATCTGCTCATAGCCACTGGCACTCATCATGTTCAGGGCCCTTGTGCCCCTCGCGCTGCACCACCAGTCACTGGCAGGTCGTCAGGGGAGGGCTGCTCCTGCGTCGCCTTTACGAACATGCCATTTGTCAGTGCAGACGTGGCCCCAAGGTCAGAGGTCACAGGGGGGGAGGGCATCACAGCCATCATTCCACCCACCTCCAGCAGCATCTTCACGTCCCAGGCGTCCTTTTCTTCATTTGGGTAACTTTTTGCCATGTTGTAGTGCTTTTCACCAGGCCTGACTGCTTGTGGAGACTTGAGAATGCGAATCTATACTTAAAGAGAGAACACACTTAGAGGACATCAGAAAAAAGTCACAAGACTGAAGTAACAGGGCAAGTCTAAGCTATTGAAAAATAGTTTATCCACCAATCTAAAAAAAACCCTTTTAGAACCCAAATTCTACATTCTTCAGTTCTAATTTTCAATGTTTGAAAACTCACGATCATGGAATAAAGCAAGCATCGATGTCAATGAATGACTTACGAAGTTATACATGAACTCCTAAAACTTCGTCTAGTGAGTCGGGGAGGGAATGAGAACTCGGGGTCTACAAGCCTCCAGTTTATGCTAACTGTTGTCAATATCTCAGAGGCACTGAAGACTAAGCCGTACACTGCTGCATGTCACAGGAATAACCAATGGACATACTTTTCCTTGGACACACGATACAAATTCTTACTAATCCTGCTAGAAAGTGGAAAGGGGCAAAGGCTCTCTCCAGAGATGAAACCCAGGACAGAGACTTTAGAAAAAAAAACAAAGCCATGTGGAGCCCGTCGCGCCTGCATCTTCCGAGCAGGGTGCTGGGGTGCTCTGTCGCCATGAGGTCAGCACCCTGGAGTGGGCTTTCCAGCTCTTTGGCAGTTGGTGGACAAGGTCAGTTCTGGGATGAAAGCCCATGACTATCCAGCTGCATGACATTCCACAACCCATCTGTTACCCTCACGGAGCTCTTATTTTATGTCCCAGATCACACTGTTTCTTGACTGAGAACTACCTAAGGCAACAGCTTTATTTATCAGTCCCTTAGAGTTCCGACATAATGAAACTAAAGAGTGAGGCGGCGCTGTGCATACCAGTACAGTGTCATCTCCACAGACTTGTGAAATGAAAATGGCCCAAGAGCACAATATCCCCAAGGGGTCAGACGCACACACATCCACATGCTGCCCATGCATGAAACTGCTTTGCAAAGATACGCATGAAACTAGCGACCGGGGCCTCTAGAGAAGGGGCTGGTTGACAATGGAGGGTGAGACTTACTTTTCATTGGCTTTTGTACCATGTGTGTACATTACCTATTCAAATAACAACTTAAAAAAGAAAATGCAAAACAGTAAAAGAATAGAAAAGGGAAAAATCATTCTCTTAGTTTTATACAAGTACATAAACATTTAACATGTACAAATAAGACGCATGATTTCAGTATTTTTTTTTAATCTCTAAATTCTGTACCACAGAACCTATAGTAAGGCTAATGTGAGGAGCGGGAAAAATCAGACAGTAAATTCAATTCAAAATGTCTGTGTATCCAAAGCAATACCCAATTTCAGAAGGATCCTTAATTAGTAAGGATGTGGAACAATTTTTACTACACTACAGAATTAAGATGATGTCAACACATCACTGCTGGACAGACCCCTCCTGAGTAGATTATAGGAAGTCAGGAGATTTTTGGGAAAAGGTCTCTAATGATTCTGTAGGTACAAATGCCTTGCAAATGTACACAGTAGTTCTGAGTCAACTTTCCGACTAAGAATTCAACAACTCTGCTTAAAGACATAAGGCCTAATCAAAGTAAAAACGCAAGAAGAAAAGCCCACGAACTCAGAAAGGACAGATCGCGCCAGCCTGAGAAGGCGTTCTGCCAAAAGCAAGTCTAAGAACAAAAATCTTCACAATCTATAAATATCTGCACAACTTACCACTAAAAATCACCAGAATTTGGAAATATTTATCTACGATTAACGTTGAAGATTTTTGGGGGGGGATTTGACTACACACAAGAATTTATACCACATAACAGCAGGGTAACACAGGCCGCGCCCTTGGTAAATACCTGCTCGATCTGTATTCCATAGCCCTTAAAGCCCGCGTTGTCCCATGAAGTATTCCGATAGATGTCATCGACTCTGTCAATTAGCTCTATCTGTGTGCAGGAAGAGAGAGTGAGAACTGCGTTGTGTTATCTCCTTACTACTGTGAACCATGTAATATAAACTCAGCTTCGAGAAAATGCTGTTGCAAGTTTTCACCGATTACACAAACATTTGGATGTTACTCTTTATCACTGACAGGTCTAACAAATTATCCCTATGCCAAACTTAAGTTGTTACCAGAATAAAACAGTGGGAGATTTTACCCCAAATTTCAGATACTCAACTGTATGTGGAACCAAAAAATCAAGTAACAGGTTTTTAGTAGCTGCCATTTTAATCATTACAAAAATAAAACTTAAAAGCAATCATTTACCTAAAATACTCCCCTCTAAGAAGTGTGCTGTCTTCACTCTATCTCTTGGCTAAAGCCTTAAGGATCTGCCTCAGAAAGGCCAGGAGCAGAGCCAAATTGAGCCTGTTCCCCACGGGGCAAAGCTCATACCTAGTCTCGGAACAGAGCACCAGAGGGATATAAGGGTTCCACCATTCCTTCTCTCTCCTTCCTGATTCAGGAAGTGGGGAGGGGCAGAAAATACTGGGAGGGAGGGGCATTAGTCAAGAGCAATTCAAACTACGTAAGAACAAAATGCTCCCAAATTGAGTTACATAAAATTTGTTTTGACAACTGTGAAGCATATTTCAGAATAAGGATCTGTCCTTTGCTTCTAAGTAACTGTAAGGCTAAGCCAATTTCCAGGACTACACCTCACATTATATTCATATGCTTGGGATAAAGAACAGATATTAATTGAGAGGCATCCCTTAAAATAAAACCCCTATTAAGAAAACAGCTTTTTCAAAAAGGAATGTCTCTTACTTGGAAACAAGAGTTACAGTGTCTTCATACTATACTCCTACCAGATTCATAATAAATCCTTTCACTTGACATGGAAGGAAAGGGTGACGGAGCATATGACGAAAAAGAGGATGGAAAAGCAAGGCAGTGAGAAAGCCGTCTTTACCGCACTCTGTTCTTGGTTCATGAATAGCTGTATTCTCTTTCATTCCCTCAACCCCATTTTGGTCAATGCCAAGTTATTGTGGAGAATGAGGTCATGCTAAAAAAATGTCAGTGAAATATGATTCTCTTGACTGAAAAAGTTGCAGTAGTAAATGACCCCAACTCTACTGTCAATAGTTCTGTAATAGTCAAACCTTTGCCCGCGGTGAGTTGTGACCAGGAAAGCCCCACTAACAGCATGTAGCTAGTCACTCTGTAAGTCTCCGTCAAACTACAGACATGTGTCCTGAAATCCACATGGAAGCAGCACTAACGCAGTTCCGACAGGACTTCCGGTCACCCTGGAGCACACGCCCGCCTGTCACCACCCGGCGCTCCGGTCACCCAGCGCTGCTTCCAAGCAGGCAGTTGTATAAAGGGAGGCCAATGTTAGGCTTCTTCCTAACACACACCGGAGTGCTAATGTGCAGGAAGTGCAGCCTTCGAATGTTTTAGGAAATAACAGAACATGTGAAACAGTCTGCTTTCATTATGCTTTAACTTACAAGCCTTCTTTCCTGGCATTTGTCCACTATATGAACTTCCCTTGTCCAGTCACCATCTCTAGGACTGACCACTTACCAGGTAGTTCGTGGTTGTGCTCTCTTCACCGCGGCCCATGTACTTGTAAAAGCGGTGATCTGCTACCACCAGCAGTTTACAGGTGTTCTTCAGGGGATTTGGCTCAGCTCTCCTCTTCACGCGATGGACAAGCTCTAGTATGAATTTGTATGCACTATTAAACCAAAATTCATCAGAACAAGGAGTTTTTTTTATAGCAGCACTTTAAATCTAGCGAACTCTCGAAATAAATGTCGTTTCAGTTTAATATCCTTAAAGGTACTTTGAACAAGAAAAGCACTTGGAGAAAAACAGAAAAGTGAAAAGTAATATGACATTTAACAACTGAAGAATTCAAAACCAAATGAAAGTATGCCCCTTTCTAAAAGGATACTTTTTAAAGGTCTAAAACTTAACAATCACCTACAAAGCTGTCATTTTTCTTCTAGAACATGTCTACACATAAAGTAATGGCAAAAATATCAAGATAATCAAACATTAAAAGTTAGTTTGTAGAAAAAAAGTGTGCAAAATGATGTAAAAATAAACTTTTGTAATAAAAAAAGTTAGTTTGTAGTAATAGCATGTTTTTCTTGGCAGACAGTCAAACTGTTTAAGAATTTCTTCCCTGCTGTATTAAAAAGCGAGTACTACTGGCCCTCCCTGGTGGCGCAGCGGGTTAAAGCACAGCCCTAAGAAGCTTAAGCCAATTCTGCATGAGTCTGATCCCCGCCTGCCGTGGAGGTGACCACATGGCGCGGCAGACCTCTCCTGACCCGCCTGCTGCTCCCCTCAGCAGTATACTTCGTCAATCTGCCTGTACTGCTCCCCACTCTGTTCCTGGTGAAGCCTCTCACCCTCCGCATCTCTGGCCTGTACCCCAGTTCTGTATGAATAAATACATCTTTAAAAAAAAAAAAAAAGCGAGTACTATTTCTAAGGTTTTCCTGAGGACACTTGTCCAGATGTTTTCACGTTTTAAATGCTTTAAAGTGACCTGTCCCCAAACTGGTCATTTTCTTTCTAAATAGCAAAGACCTCTCTGATGCCAGCATTCCAGAAATTACATAAGCAATCTAAAGTGTGTTTGAACTGTTGTGCCACCAGGGAGGGCCCATTTTAGGTATAGTCTTTGTCACTACTAGTACTTTCTAATGTTTTCAACTATTACAGACAAAAGAATTAAGAATTCCTAAACAAAATCGTATTTTCAAGTCAAATGCTATAGCTGAGAATCATGACTTTTCATTAACAGTCATCCCCCTGAAGATAGCTGAAATCCTTGTTTTATGTGTGAAATACATTTTTAAAGTCTCACCATCAGGTGGCTCTCTGTCCTCCAGTCCTTCTGGAAGCAACTCTTCATTGTCTGCATTTATATAACCACACACTTTCGGAGACTGCAATCGTGAAACATTCTTAATATCTTCAGATTTATAAACTAACACTCTTTTGTCTTCAGTATCATTAATTAGTCTCCAAAGTGGCTGAAACAGAAAACACATACTGTGATGGTAAAAATGAGAATTCTTAAGTTCTCTGATCTTCAAGCTCTCAGAGATCTGTGCCCCACTACTATGATAATTAACTTATCTGAGCATTAACGTCTCCCACTGGGTAAAGTAGTGGTAATTCCTGTCTTGAAGATTATGTAAGACAAACAATCCACTCACAAAGATGTCATAATAAAGGTTAGTACTACTACTAATAAAAACAAATACTATTATCACCATTACTAACAAAGACGCCTGGAAAAAAATTACCAATTACTGGATTGTAAACTGGAAAACAAAATCTATGAAGGAGATTTTGAAGCTAACTGGAGATTTTAACTATGGGGTCATTATTTGCTAATACTGCAGACCTGGCTTCATCTTTTCAGTGAATCAATTTTTTTGTGGCTAAGTAAGAGGCACACGCTTTAATATTTAGATGTGAAGTCTCCCAAGGAAATATCTGGAAAAGTGAGGAATGTACGCAACTTTAACTTGAATCCTAGATTCACCTACTTGGAACTAAGAATAGACAAACTAAAAAGCACCTATATTCTGGCAAGAAAAAAAAAATCACTCTAAGTAGATAGACAGGCACATGCATTGTGGCAGAAGAAATGCTGAGTCCTCCACACAGTTTCATCTTTGAGCAGGAGAGAAAAAAAGGATTTTTCTCAGCCTCCTTTGCATGCAGGTTCTAGAATATGGGTGACGCTGGCCACGGCCCCCACCCCACCCCCGCCCAGTCCTTACTATCACTCTGGTGGACTATCAGCTCTGTTCCCTTCCATGACAAGCTCAAAGGCCTCCCAATCTAAACGGCAGAGCTGCACCAGGAGGCTTCGCCAGCCCCACTGCCCGACAGGCAGGGACAAGCCCCCGCTGCTTGCAGCTACTGAGCATGGGTCGGGAAGAGGAGCCCTGGCACAGTCCAGACAGCTTCATCTGGCTTCCAGACTGTCTCCTGCCACTAAGATCATCCTGATGGAAACACTAAAAGGTGTGCCCAAAGCTGTTCATGTATACAGTTGCTCATCACATAAAGTTGTTCCTTAAATAAACTTAATTTCAAAAATCAGAAATTTTATTTCAAAAACAATGGGGACTGGTTAAACATGGTACGATGTTTCAATGAACCAACAGGCAGCATTTATTAAAAAGTCCAATTTAAATCTTCATTAACATGGAAGGAAATATGTTCATAATTACACTGTTAAATGAAAAACACATGATAGAGTTGTGTGGTTCTAATTTTATAAGAAAAAATAGTCTACAAAGCTGTATTTATGGGTGTGTGTGTGTGTGTGTGTGTGTGTGTACACACACACATATAAAATACGTACCATATGAAAATATTTGGAAGGATGTCATCAGAATGTTAATTACAATTATATACCCAAGTACTAAGATTTCAGGTAATCTTTTCTAAATTTTTCAAAGACAGAGCAAGTTTTTTGTTTTTTGTTTTTTGTTTTTTAAATAAACATACTTTAAAAAAAGGTATCGGGGCCCTCCCTAGTGGCAGAGCAGGTTAAAGCGCAGCACTAAGAAGCCTAAGCCACCTCCGCCTGAGTTTGATCCCCGCCTTCCCGGAGAAGATCCACATGGTGTGGCAGACCTCTCCTGACCCGCCCGCTGCTCCCCTCAGCAGTGTACTTCGTTGATCTGACTGTTCTGCTCCCCACTCTGCCCCTGGTGAATCCTCTCACCCTTCGCATTTTTTTTTAAAGATTTATTTATTTATTCATACAGAACTGGGGTACAGGCCAGAGATGCAGAGGGTGAGAGGATTCACCAGGGACAGAGTGGGGAGCAGAACAGGCAGATCGACGAAATACACTGCTGAGGGGAGCAGTGGGCGGGTCAGGAGAGGTCTGCCTCGTCATGTGGATCTCCTCCGGGGCAGGCGGGGATCGAACTCATGCGGAAGTGGCTTTAGCTTCTTAGTGCTGTGCTTTAACCCGCTGCACCAACAGGTAGGGCCCGGAGTCATTAAAATTTACACTATTAGGGCCCGGAGTCATTAAAATTTATACTATTATGGCACTGACACCATGCCTTAGCCCCAATCAGCACTCAACTGGACCTGAAATTTTCATTTTCACCAAACCCAGCTACAATTTTCTAAAGGTTATTCTGTTTTGGTGGTATCCTGAGTACCTAGAATATTCCTTTTCCTAGAAACAAATACACATCCAAAAATCTGTGGCAGCCATTTTGTCCTTGGGACTAGTATCCAACACATAGCTATGTGTTACACACCAGTGGCTGCTCTGGCCTTGGTTTCTACTGCTAGTGCTTCACCAGAAGACCGTTCTGAGTCTGAGTTTCCCAATTTCCTCTTTTAACTTCTCAGAACATATACACTATCACCCTTCACTGACCATGCAATGACCAAGACACTCCAGCATGTCGAGAAGAGAAAGTGAGAAACACACCTTATCTTCAACTGTGATTAATGTGTACTTACCGAAAATTACTAGATAAAGAAAAAGAAGTCAGAGGATGTGTGGCATTCTCTCAATTAAGGTTCTTAAAAAATATAGGATGTACTTTATGACCATCTCTTAGACATGTATAAAATATTACTTGTTTCTAAGAAGCCATCTACTTTAAGTCTCCCTTGTAGAGCAAGGGGTTAAGTCTCAGCACTATGAAGCTGTCCACAGCCACTGCAGCATGAGTTCAATTCCCAACAAAGTGCTGACCCACAAGATGCAGCAGATCTCCCTGTCTCCCAGCTGTTCCCCTCAGTAATGGATTTCCGTACATCTGCCTGTTCTGCTCCCCTCTCTGTCTCTGGTGAATCCTCTCACACCCCCTCCCCCACCTCTGGCCTACAGTCCAGTTCTTGTATGCATAAATTTTAAAAAAGAAAAAGATCTTATCTTTTCTTTTAGTCATCTACATTTCTGGTTAAGCATCTTTATATACAAGGAGAAACAAAATATAATTAATGATCTTTTTCTTCTGTAAGACACCCTACTGACTGGGAAAAAAATCTTTGTACTCCACACAACAGAGAAGGGACTGAACATAAAGATATACAAAGAGCTCATTTGAATCAACAGAAACAAAACAAACAAACCAGTCAAGAAATGGGCAAAAGAACTTAAAAGGCACTTATCCAAAGAGGAATTGTAAATGGCCAACAGGCATATGAAAAATGTTTAACATCCCTCATAATCAGGGAAATGCAAATCAAAACCACAATAAGAGACTACCTCACATCAGTGAGAATGGCACATATCAAAAAAAAACTAACAACAAAATAATGTTGGCAAGGATGCACAAAAAAAGGAACTCTCCTACATTGCTGGTGGGAATGCAAACTGGTCCAACCTCTATAGAAAGTCGTGTGGAGGTTTCTCAAATTGCTGAAAATGGAGCTTCCATATGACCCAGCAATTCTACTCCCAGGGATCTACCCAAAGGATACAAAGACATTAATTCAAAAGGACACCTGCACCCTTATGTTCATTGCAGCACTACTTACAATAGTAAATCCTGGAAACAACCCAAGTGCCCAAAATTAGGTGACTGGATCAAGAAAATGTGGCATATATAAAAAATGGAATACTACTTAGCAATCAGAAAAGATAAACTCATGCCATTCGCAGCAACATGGATGGAGCTGCTCAGTAAAATAGGTCAGAAGGAAAAAGAAAACTATCGAATGGTTTCACTTATAGGAGAAATTCAAGAGAACCAAATAAGGCAGGGGGGAAAAGTGCATTGTTACTACAACACAAAACACAACAAAACAAAAATAGAGACAATTATAAACCAGAGAGATCCTACAGGGGAGGGGGGACAGAGATAAAAAGGAGGGAGGAATGTGGGGGGGCTATGGTGATGACAGGTGGGGGAGGAGGAAAGTAAACGTCGTAAAATGAACAATAATGTAAATAGTTATATATAAAAATGTAAACTTAAAAAATCTTTTTCTTCTTTAAACAACCAAGAAACAGCTTTTTCTTAGATACTATGAAAGAGACTGACATTCACATGCAGATTTACCTCTATGTTATATTCTGTCCCATCTGTGTTGATCCTTACTGTGATATCATCATCTCCTATGTGGGCCAAAACCCTGGAGTCAGGCTCCCCTTAAAAAAAAAAAAATTTTCCACTATTAAAAGTATTTTAAATAAACTGTGCAATCCTGTCAACAAAAATCAACCACAACCTCCATCAGAGTGGACCCTACCCAGGTACTGTAGAAAGTTAACAACTAAGAAACAAAGGCTCTGGGAAGAAGCCCGATTTCCCACTTCTGAGGGCAGTGTCTTAACTCCACTTACTCCAAACCTGTCTGTTTCTTCTCAAGTCTTTCATGAGAACTATCTAGAATATGTTACTGAACAAAACAGTGTTTGTTTGTTTTTCCTAGAATAATCTCACCTACATATGAGTAAAAAAAATCAACTAAGAGGAGGCACAAAGAGAATCTGAAACCACTAGATTTTGAACTACATTTTCTGGGGATTTTAAGGCCGCTTTTTTTTCCTTACGGCAGAAAGGTTCCAGCAGTAAACCACAATTGCTTGGTATACTTTCTTCGAGGAACAGGATCATAAAGTCAATTACTCATCTTCTAGCGTCCCTGTTTAATTTTGCATAAGAGAAACCTGCAACCCTCCCCTAGGCTACAAGAGAAGGTTAAATTCTTAACCATTGAGAGGAAATTCATTTTAATCACCAAAATAGCCAGCTGGGATGGCTAGATAATACCTATTTTCTCCTGCTGGAAAGTTTCTGCTTTCAAACTTATATAGCTCAAATTGAATAGAAAAAACAAATGGACTTCTTTAGCACTCCTTTCTAACTTCCCACATAAGGAACAGGTAATCAAGTTAGAACCAGACACCTCCCACTCCAGACACAAGGCAGAGACCCCTACTAACCAACCACGTGTCCCCTGAAGAAGTCCTGCCACTTGACAGCATACTCGCTTTCATCTTTTCCATCCACCACTACAACTTTGAAATTTTGGGAAAAGCGTTCAGTGCTTGATGTCAGGTATAATTTAAAATGCCTGAAGAAAAAAACGCATCCACATTTTACTATAAACACATAAAAAAGAAGTCTAATTTTCACGTGATTAAACTTTCTTTAAAAGCCGTAAGAACCAACCATGCTTTGTTGTAACCCTGTTTAACTAGGTGCTCAGCACGTATCTCTTATAAAGACAAAGGCATTCATACCATTTGTTAACTGTACACATTATCTCTACTCCCCACAGTGAAATTGAGGCTTGAGTGGTTAGTCAAAGTACTCGAGGTTACACTACTAGTAAATGAAGTACTGAAACAGGAACTTTCATTTCAGAAGCCTGTACCATTCTGCCTCCAGCAATCAAGCTGGGAAGACTGTCATGCAAAATTCACACAAGCTACTCTCTATACTTAAAGGCACTCATGCTTTGTTTCTCCTTGGAAAAAGTGCATCCAGGCCATCCCTGCCTGTGCAAGGGGTTTAAAGTGCAGCACTATGAAGCTATCCACAGCCACTGCGAAACAAGTTCAATCCCCAACCAGTACTCCACTTCTTGTATGCATGAATAAATCTTTTTAAAAAATGAATCCACAATTATAAGGAAACAATATATAAGTATCCAACAGAGACACTGAATACACAGTTCGGCTGAAAGCACAGCAGCTTTTGTTTTCTAAGAGTTTCATATATCTGAGTATAAAAGTAGGTGTGGTGTGTAAGAAATCTTCAGTCATCATTTATAGAACCCTTTCAATGTGCTTCCAAACACCAAAGATAAACAAAGGTATGTTATTCATCTCAGCCACAAGAACAAATTGTCAGCAGTAGTGCTGAGAATCTAAAATGTTACTTTCCTGAAGTCTGCATGAATCTTAACAGCCAAGAAACCAGACTAGAAATGTCTCCATGGCAACAAATATTTTTGAGCATAACACAGTAATTTTAATTTGCTTGTAGTTTTTTTTAAATGATCACAGGGAAAGAAACAATAGAACATTATTTCAGAAACCCTTAGGGCATTTTCCTTACTACCATCATACATATCTTTGAACACAGTCACAGTTATCAACCCCAATCAAAACACTGAAATGCATACCCATTATAAATGTCTTTTTTTTTTTTAGAATTTATTTTTCATTTATGCATACAGAACTGGGGTACAGGCTAAAGGTGCAGGAGCAGTGAGAGGACTCACCAGAGACAGAATGGGGAGCAGAGGAGGCAGGATGACAAAGTACACTGCTGAGGGGAGCAGTCAGTGAGAGAGGAGAGGTCTGCTGCGCCCTGTGGGTCAGCTCCCCTGGCCAGCGTTTGAACTCATTCTAAAGCTGAAGTAGCTGCAGCTAGCTTCATCATGCTGGGCTTTAACCCACTGCGCCACGAGGGAGGGCCCCAAACTTCCTTATTATTTAGAATTCTAGTGGTGAGTTTTGGTACTTTCACTGAATGTTCTTTCTAGAAAAACTAAATTGCATTCTTCATTTCTACAATAAGAAGTATCTCTACTATGAAGGAAAGAACCAAATGATAACAAGTCTAAATACATGCAAGCAGGTCCCTGAATAAGTCATTTCATCCAACTTCATTTTCTTATACCAGTGATGGGGAAATAAAAATCAGGCCTCAGCCAGGATCATTCTCTGTGTAAGTTTTCTCTCTAGGGATTCTGGTTTCATCTCAAAGATGCACACATGAGGTTCACTGGAGAGTCTCAACAGACCCTTCGGAGAGCACATGGGTTTGTGGTGGAGGGCATCTTGTCCAGACTGGAGACCTGCCTGCCTGGGCTGTCACGCTGGGCCCTATGCTCCCCTTCTCACACTGAACTGGATTAAGTGGGCTGGGAAATGAATGAATACGGTGATTGTTTAGTATCAGAAGTATTGTGAGTTTTTATTTAACATTTGGTGATGTTTCTGTGACCAGAAGTCCACTGTTAAGAACTGTAACTCTTACTTATATTAATTAGCCTTTGGTAAATTATTTCACTCAAAGTCACAGCATGCCAGAAAAAACAATGTTAGTGAGAATTTACAGTCTAATTTGTGTATAAACTATATTAGCTGTGTATCAAGTCACAAGTCCAATGGGCCCATTTCTCAGCAAGCTTATAAATTAAGTGCTTCAAAAATTTAGTGTGAAAAAGACAAACCCAATGTAAGAATGATAAAAAGATGATAGAGACAGAGAAAAATAAAATAACCTATAAATACAAGAAAAGATGCTCAATTTCATAAAGTAAAAAACAAAACAATGAGATTCTTTCAGAGGGGCAAAAGTTAAAGGTCAATAAAACCTAGTACTGGCAAGATTTTTAGTTAATTGGCAAACACACACATCTTCAAGAAGAGTCACACCTATAGGGGAAACATGGCAGCATCTGTAAGTAATTATGCTTATCCTTGACCCAGTTATTCTCCTTTTAGGAATGCAACCTATTAAAATACATTATTCTCTGGAGCATTATTACACAAAAACTACTATAAAAAACATCCACTGACAGAACTATCCATCAGTAAACTATTAAAATTCAATGCAATAAAAATATTTATGGAGTTGTTAAAATGGAGCTAAGTCTATTATCCATGTCACCCACACATAGGTACATATACCTCTATATCAAAACAATGCATTTAATCCTTTAGAAATTACACAGGAAGTCTCTGGCTATGGTAGGGTGACTGAGGAAGAAGTGAAAATTTCTTATACCTTCTGTAGTTTAGTTTCTTTTATTTCTTTAAGTGTTTGTTGGAGAAGGCCTATCCTATGGCTAAAGAACAACTTTATAACCTCCCAGTGTTCTTCATATTAGCTAAAACGTCCTAAAACTGTTTTTAGAAAGAGGCCTGCATTACCAAATCTTAAATCTGCAAGATACAGGCAATCTTAAAATTCCTGCCATCTATCAATTTATGAGTGAATTCAGTGTAAAAAGAGCATGAATTCCAAACCAGCTCCTCACTAGGTTGTAGGGTCCTGGCCAAATCCTCTCAGTGTCTTATTCAGCATAAGTTGAAGGTACTGCTTGGTATATGACTGAAAGGCCTAAAGCAGCACAACAGATTTAGGTAGTGTTGAATTAATTAAAATTCCCTGTTAAAATTCCACGACCCGGGGCCTCCCTGGTGGCGTGGGGGTTATTAGCCTCAGCTTAATCAAGATATTGGTAACCACTGTGGCAGGAGCGCAATCTCTCAGCAGGGAGCTGATGCACATAGTATAGCAGACCGCTCCTCTCCTCTGACGCCCCCCTCAGCAGTATATTTCAGTCTGCCTGCTCTGTTCCCCTGTTTCTGCTGAATCCTCTCATTTCCCTGTCCCTCTGGCTTAAACCCCAGTGGTTATATGCATAAATAAAAATAAATCTTAAAAAAATATTCCATGAACATATTACACCACCATTAGTACCTCTGTAACACCTATACTTTTTTTTTTTTTTTAAAGATTTATTTATTTATTCGTACAGAACTGGGGTACAGGCCAGAGATGCAGAGGGTGAGAGGATTCACCAGAGACAGAGCGGGGAGCAGAACAGGCAGATCGACGAAATACACTGCTGAGGGGAGCAGCAGGCGGGTCAGGAGAGGTCTGCCTCGCCATGTGGTCACCTCCGGGGCAGGCGGGGATCGAACTCATGGGGAAGTGGCTTTAGTTTCTTAGTGCAGTGCTTTAACCCGCTGCGCCACCAGGGAGGGCCACACCTATACTTTTAATGATCATCAGGATGAATTTCAGAATAATCAGTACTTTATACAGGAATCACATGACAAATCTTTAAAATGTTATTTCCTAAAATTTCAGTAGACACCCTTAGTATTCTGCTTTCACCAAACCAACTTTTTTGCTCCCCCAACATTATCTTTGAATAATTCAAATTACCTGTTCAAGGCTGAAAATGTTAGCAGTGTTTCCAAATGTGTTGATGCACGGAGATCCCTTTTTCTTACTGAGTGCTGCTGGATATTGGATAAAGAGAGGATATCGTAGTCTGAGAGCAAAGAATCAAGCTTTTCTGAAATAAAAGTAAAAGATCATTAGCACCAAAGTCTATGGATCAGGCATAGTATCCCTAAAATATCAGACAATAAATTCTTCCTTATGTGACACATTATGAAGTCACAACCTTTGAGGGATTCTTAGCAAAACAACAAATTTTGAGGCTAAATCTAATCAAGATCTAACTTCCTTTTTAGGACCTGAGATTGGATATTGCCAAATTAAATAACAACCTTAGGAAGTAATCAGCCACACCCAAATGTTAGAATTCCTGCAGAACAAATGACCCAATTTCTTCCGGAAAAAAATGGCATGGGAAATAAGTGAGGGCGGAGATGTAACAGATAAGAACACCACAAGAAAGCCAATGTATGCACCGTTTAGGATTCTAGGTCAAACAAATTGGGAAGTATATTTGTGACAATTAGGGAAATGTGGGCATGAATCCATGTTTACATCAGATACTGATAATCTTGATATAATCAGGGTATCTTTCGCTACAAAAAGGTAAATTCTAAATTAAAGGCCTTTCTGACTTTTATGTTGAGAATTTCTAAAAACAAAGTTGCTAACTCAATCCGCCCACTGCCAACAAGGTCCTATCAACAACCTCTTATCAGTTGTTGTACAACAATAAGCAAAGAAAAAATGAGAAATAAAACTTTCACAGAAAAATCACATATTCAAATTAAAGCGCAAAAATGTGATAATATCCCCTCTAATACTGCTACCCTAACAGGCATGGCAGGCTCTATCAATCCACTGGGTATCAGGAAGTTCAAGTGACAAGACCAACTAATTCCTAGAAAAAAAGCAACGTTAATAATTTTACCAAGCACACTTGGAACCCAAGAAAAACACTACCCCAAAGATAGAACAAGGGTGAATAGTTTTGTTGGTACTGAGCCAGAGCAAATTCTAAAGGAATATGTCTATTACTCCTGTAAGTCACATAATTTTGGTGTCTTAAGTCTCTGCAAAAACTGTCTAAAATGCATGGGGTGGTGCTTTCCTTTTATTTCAACAAATAATAACTGCAGAAGCAGAGTTATACAAAATCAATCCACTAAATTTAGATTGGCTTCAAAACACAGCAGCAGAACTTAAAAACAAGCATATCAGTAGTAAGGTAAACGAACTCCATTTAAGAATCCACCCAAGGCTTTTCTCCTTCCTCTTCCCCTAAATATCCTCAACTGGTTCATTCTTCAGTTCCTTAATTCACTGCCATGTACCAGGCACTGGTGTGATTGCTGAGATAAAGCATTAAATCACAGTCTCTGCCTAAAGAAACACTTCAGTGTGAAGGAAATGGACAGTGCAGAAGGAAGTAGTATGTCAATGCTGCGGACATCAACGCAAGGAAGCCAAGGTAAGAAATGGGAAGTGTCAGCTGACGAGTGGCCAAAGTCAGGGAGAAGCTGCGTAGCTGCATGGCAGGAAAGCAGGTAAAGCAAAAGCAAGGCCTGATGCTGGCCGACGGAAGTAACTTGACCAAAGTCCGTTCAAGGCTCAAAAACTCAATATTAAATAAAGTTGCAGCAAATCCGAGGTGCCACCCATGTTCCACTAACAAACTTCTTTTTGGATTTACTCCAGAGGCAGCTGTCTCAGATGATCAACAATCAACTTTCCTCCAGGAGATGGGGCCAGCAGTCACAATGCCTGGCAGCCCAATGAAACCTTTAAGAAGCAAAGATGCTTAGAACTTACGCAACACATTTGAGTGTCCGTTTCCTAGAAAACACATGCTTGGTGTTTTATTAGCTCCACAAACATCCCTGAGGTATTATCCCCATTTTACAGGTGAAGAAACAAGACTGAGAGCAGCAGTCCTTTGTCTACAATCACAAAGCTCATGTACCAGGGAACTGGGGTTTAAACAGGGCATGTTTGGCTGCAAACTCCAAACTGCACTGTCGTACTATTTTTCAAACTCCTTAAAAATAGTCTTGCTTTTCTTGGATCTTCTGCTTCTTAGCCTCCTACTTTTTTGACCTTTTTTCCCTCCCTCTGAATTCTTAAATCCTTCGCTATACCCTTCCTCTCGCCTCACAGATTATAGAATGCTTGAAAGAGAACTGTTACTCATCACAGTATCCTCCCCTCACAAGCCCCACCAGCACCTTGCGCAAAACAGTGAGCCTGTGCTCACAAATCTCATGTTGAGATGCTGATACCATTCCTTGGTTCAACTTGGCTGATACAGGTTGGTACATGAGTCAGTTTCATTCAAGATCATAATCACTCCTACCATTGAGAAACCACCTCCTGCTGTCAATAAGCGGTCAGGCGCTGTCAGAGTGCCCCTCCCCAGCCCCGGCCCCAGCAACACCTGGGACCTGGTGGGAATTTTAATTTCCAGGTTTCCCCTCAGTCCTACTGGGTCAGAAGTTCTTGGCGCAAAGCCCAACAATCTGTTTCACATGGCTCCCAGCTGATATTGATGCGCCTTCAAACCTGAGAACCAGTGAACTAGGCCAGTCATGAATGAGCAGAGTGAGAAAAAATCTTTACGGACAGAGATGTTCACTGCTCAGCACTACATTATGTTTAAGAACAAAAAAAACACAAAAATTAGTAACTGGGAAACAGCAATTAAAAAGCTTCCAAGTGACCGACCCAAAAAAAACACACACAAAAAAAACTGCAATCATTGAAGTACTGCTAACAACAGGTTTTTAAGAACACAAGGAAATACTTATGCCATGTTGCTGTGTTAAATAAACTAAGATGGGTATTGCATGATCTTAACTGTAAAAATAGAGCCTAGAAAAAAATAAAGAGCAAGAAATTATCATCTTAAGGCATATTTCCTGTAATAGTCACTTTTCTCAGTAGTTTGCTAAAGCACTATAAATTGTATAACTAAAGTGTTCCAACTGCAGTTTATCCTCTTTAATAACTAGGTGTCTCAGTAGATGTCCCAGAGCCACCACAAACAGCTTGATAAAAGCCAAGCTCGCCCTCTGTGCAACTACTGGTGTTGTTGCTCCTGCTTCTGTCTTTTCAAAAGCAAGTTAACGTTCAGCTACTCCACAGTACTTCGCTCCCAAATGTCCAAGGTTAATGAGCTCCATATTCCACAACCTTTTCCACAAAATTTACATTCCACCCCCTCCCCGAGCAATTCTTTTTTTAAAAAACATTATTACTTATTTCTGTATACAACAAGTTGGGGGGGAGGAGAGAGGACTTCCCAGAGACCCAGAGACAGAGTGGGGAGCCGAGCAAGATGATCTACTGAAACCCACTGCTAAGGGGAACAGTGGGGAGCTAGGAGGGGTCTGCTGCGTCCCACAGTCACTCCCTGGCTGGGATGGGCCTCAACAGCTCGATAGCGCTGACCCTTTAACCACCAGGGAGGCCGCGCCCAGAATCTATTCTTTATCCACATCCAAATCTCTCAATAAACTCAAGTACAAACCATTTACCTCCTTAGCACATGGACAGACAAGACTAGAAAATGCTTTAAAAACCATCTGTGCTAGGTGGGGATGCTCTTTTTAAAAAGTCCACATGGCAAAAAAAAAAAAAAAAAGTCCACATGGCTGCACAAGGCTCCCCAGGGTGCTGAAGGCACTAAACAGCTGGCTTCCTCTCCTCTCAGCCAGCCCCCAGTTCAAGTGCCCAACAACAACCCATTCAGGCTGAGGGAGCTCGCAGCTAGTGTGGGTGGCCCCCACCCACCCCTCCCTACTCTTCTCTGCCAAGTGCTCCTCTCCCCCCCTGGCTTCTGCCTCTCCTTGGAGACCCCACCCTTCCTCACTGCTTCTCCATCCCCACCTGTGCCCCTGCGTTCTCGCCCCACATTCTGTACACACTTTCCCCTTTCCACAGGGCCCCATCTAGTCATTTATTCAACAGACAGGTATTATTGAGAATCTCCTACTTCCCTCAGGCACTGGGGATTTAGTAGAGGAAAAGGGAACTATATTTCCAATATTGTGACACTGAAAGATCCCACACAAAGGATATAAAAGTGTTAAATGCTAGGGAGCCAACACTGCAAGGCGACAGAGGGTGACTCCGCCTGGCCAGAAGGCGCTATGCAGACAGCATGGAAACTAGACCAAGGGACAGGAGAAAGGAGAGGGCTCCAAAGGCAAACCGGAGGAGGTGTGAGGCACTGGAGAGGGGTTGGGGGCGAGAGGGGAGAACAACGCAGGGAGCAGGGAGAGGTGTGAGGCAGAGTGCAGACTGGCACAGGAGCCTCAGGGGCGAGGGGCTGGAGGGCAGCAGAGGACTAGTCACGAGAGCCTGGAACTACATGATGGACTCTGGCTAAGAACAACAGTTATAAATCGGAAACAGAAAGGGACAAGACTGGAGCCTGGGAAGTCTGCCAAGGAACGCCCGGTGGACATCACTCAAAGACCCCCAGGTTTTGACTTGGGCACTGACTGGGGAACTAGTGAAACAACACTCACTGAGGTCAAGACACAGGTGGAGCTGGGTTGCAGGAGACAAAGAAATGATCATATGCTACATCCTCACACAGGAGGCCTCGTTCTTCGAAGGAACGCCGAGAGGCAGTCTCCTCACCGAGCGGAGCACCATCAGCTGCAGAGCAGGAGGAACATGCTGCAAGGCGGAGATCCTCACACCCAGGCGGCGGGAGAATTTCAAAATCATGTTCCAGACAAACTTTACCCCTCATCTGTGACCTATGTTTTCTCCCTTCCAACCATGACATCCTCTTTTATTTAAAGTAACAAAGGAAAAGCACTTTTGAAATCAAAGTGAAACTTCTACACCCCAACTGCAACTTCAAGATCTCATCATGACTAAGCTCACAGGACTTCTCACTTCCCTGAATTATGCAATTCGTGAGAATTCAGCTAAAATCACTCTGGGTAACCTAAGGAGTTCCCCCAACGCCAGGTCTTTATTTTTGTCCTTCAGGAAAATGTTGTGAAATCCCTGCCTAGTTCTGGTCAGTGCGGTACCACGGTCACGCTTACACACAGACATGCAGGCTAGTGAACAGCAAGCCGCGTCCTTTCGGTGAAGACCACTGGTCCCGACCACCTCAATCTCAGGAACAGAGGGGCTGAGGTGACAAATCACACCTGGAGCCACCGAACACAGTTACTCTTCCAAGGAAAAGTCCTCACGTCCACTAGTGTGACCCTGCCAGCCACCGCACCTTTCGGCCCCTTCTGCTGCCTCCTGTGAAGTAGTGAGGGAGGCAGCCCAGGGCTCACTGGAAGTGGCTGCGTCCCCCGGGCCACAGCAGCGTCCCAACCTTTCGAGCCTCATCTCGGTCTGGGCAGAGGGGCCTCCCACCTTGCTGGGCTGGACTGCCCCCTTCGCAGCAGTCTGCCCAGCGCACTGACTCGCTCCTCCCCTTTCAGGGCGCTCAGCTTTCTAGTCCGGGCAGAGACAGACACCTGCGAGCGAGCACGCCCAATGCCTCACACCAGTTCCACACACGGCGCGAGCGCAGCACGGCTTCCAAGTTTAACAGCAGGGACGGCTTCCCATTTCCCGCACTGACGGTCAGCACCTTGCCACCGGCCCACCCCCCGCACGGTCTTCCGGCTGCGAGCTGGCCCAGACGGGGCCGATCCCCTCAGCGGCCTTCCCGGGCTTCCGCGATCTGGCGCGAGATAACGGACCGCCCGGGCCAGGCCACAGAGCTCCCGCCCGCCCCCACTCCCAGGCCCAGTCCACCGGTACCGACGCCTCACACCTGGGCGCCCTCGCCGGCGCGCGGCCCCGCCGGCCCCTCCCACCTGTTGCCCGGCAGGGTCAGGCGAGAACCCTCAAGCCCCAGGACGCACTGTCGGTCACTCACAACTTGCGTCCATTAAGTCGGGAAAAAGTCGCCAGCAAAAACGCAACTCA